TTCTCTTAAGAATAATCTCTATTCATAAATAGAATGTAAATATTAACAAAACTGTTTATAGAAAATTATATTTGTGCTGGCTATCTGTGGGATACTTCCCACTAAATGGCGAATGCATTTATACTGATCGGGCAAAAGTCATGGATTATAATTTTTCAAATAAGTACAGGCTATCCTCGAATCAAAGACCCCTCCAATGAAAGACCACTTTTCTGCAGACCCCAAATGAGCATTTATCTTTAAAATAATATTTTTCTATTTTAAAAAGAGCAAAGCTGTTAAAGACCATGAAAAATCCCTCTCCCTAAAAATGGTTTCTTTTAATAATAGGAGACCTGTATAAACCTTTTTTCTTTGTATTGGATTATTTGAGAAAGATGAATGGTAGGCCTAACCTTATACTACTAGTTTGTACTGCTGTTGGCACTTGGATTAGCAAGCACAATTTAAATGTAGGCTTTACTATTTGCCATGCATCTATTGTAACTCATAATATTTTAATCAGAAATATATTATTTTATAATGTATTTAAATGTAATGTAGACAAACTGTCCAAAATTTATCTAATTGGCCCGTGCACATATTTTTAATTATGCACAATACAGCCACTAACATATATGCAATGCATTGAAATAGGCTAGTACCATACCCGCATGTAAGAAAAGACTTAAAATAGCAAATTACAATCGAAAAACGGTGGGGTCGTCGTACACGCGCGACATACAAATATTAATAAAATCGTTAAATCACGTTCGTCTCATGTGTGGATTGTCCGCACTGCAATGAACCTACTAATTGTTAGTATGAATGAACGCAATTTTAAATACTGGGAAATAAGATTTTGATTAACATTTAAACGCCCATAAAAACGGGGTCGTCTTATATGCCCCGACACAAAAATTATCAAAAGAATAACGTTCTCAAACTCGGGGGTCGTCTTACACCCGGGTAGCCTTATACGCCAATATATGCAGTAAACAATAATAATAAGGACAGATGAAAATAATTCAGGACAAAATATGAGGCTGAGAGGATGACACGTTACTGTAATCAATGTCTAAGAATAGATAATGGTTTTGAAATTAAATTAGAAAGAGGATAGTGTAGGAAAAACGCAATGAACTCCAATCAGTCGTACCAGTACCGTACTGTTCCATATCGGATGGCTATCCCAATCAAAATACTTGGCCTTTACTATCACTAGGCAATTTAATAATCTACATACTTCTGATTGAAGAAATTACATAGCAGGATGGTCTGTCAGGAAATGAGAGAATGGAAAGAATGTAATGAATTAAATAAGGATTTAGAATAAGGATGTGAAAATTAAAATATTATTATTCAATGATATCTGAATTTTGGGACTGAATTTGTCGTAACCCCTGTCATCTGTTTAGATCATTCTTATTATACTTGTTATTATTGTTATTGTTATTATTATTAAATTCATTATAATTATTTATTAATGTAATTTAAATTGTAAAAATTTGGAGACTGAACTCCTGTTGGATCATTTTCATCCTACTTCTTTATACTATTGTTATATTATTGTTATTATTATTATTATTATTATTACTAATTATTATCATTATTATTAGAGAGACTGAACTTGTTGGAAGTCCTGTCATTTTTTACATTTTTTTTGTTGTTTTTTTTTTTTTCAAATTGCAAAATTTAAGAATGAGGATTTTCATGACAGTGACAGCCGGAGAAGCAACATCTGGCTTGATTTTTTTAAATTGTACATTTTAATATTTAATTCTTTATTAATGTAAAGTGCTTCTTATGTATTTATGGTGCTTTCATCTCTTTTTAAAAGGCGCCTTTAAATGTCAAATCAATATTATTATAATGGCACTTAAGATTACTATACAAACTTACAAATTAAATGTGGCACTGCAAAAATCAGGAAAACATAAAATTTTACACCCTATTCTACACTGCATTGCGATCAGATGCAATGTAATTGATGGAAATCCAAAACTATTACTCCCGTTCTTAATTAACGAGCGCATTCAGATCAAATCAGACATAAAAAACTTTATGAAATGGGAGGTAAAACGATTCTAGGCCTCCGGTGGCTAGACCTACAGTACTAACTAGTATGTTGACTGACCTCAGTCAATCTGTGCCTGTGGAATTTGTTGTGGATTCGTTGCGATCAAATTCTGTGGTAATTGGGAATAATAAAGATTGTAGCACCCAATCGCAACGGGTAACAATTGTGATCAATTACTTATTGACTACTATTGGTGACCTTTGACACACAATTGCTACAACCAATCGCAACACAATGCTAGCCTGAATAGGGTATTATTAATCTTTGAAAAAGACTATTCCTATAAAGTAAAACGTCCATTTTACGAACGTTGATTTTACGAATAGTCGATTTTATGAATGGTCTTTGCCCCTGATGACGTCATTATCGACCACTTATTACTGTAAAAAAAGTCTAATTGCGCACGTTTTACAAAGTGATAATGTATATTTTCCTTAATAAAATAAAGTTTGTTGTATTTATTTATTAATAGTTTGATCTTTTCTTCTATTTCTGGTATAATAATCACTATATTAATGTAATAAACCTAACCAGAACAACGAACTACCAAGGCATGTGTCGTCGGTTTGAGCGCACATGTTTACGATGATGAACAAGAGTGTTGGGGTCAGCAAATTAATGACATCGCGAATACTAGATATGATCGCGAAATGCATGTAAACAACACAATTCGGCGATCTAGCAACTAGAAAGATCACAAAAGAAAGGGTCATAAAACATATAGGTGTTTGAATAAGAGTTAAACTAATATTTTGTTAAGTGGAAGAATGCCAAAGATTATAAGAAAATAATTTGGTTTTTATCGAAGATAAATTCCGCTAGGCTCTAGCGCGGTAGACCATGCTGCTGCACTGGCGCTCAATGGCAGGGGATAGCTAGTACTAGGTATTAGAAACTGACACCCGATCTAGTTTACAAATTTTTCAATTTACGAACACCCCTTGGTACCAAGGGGTACGTAAAATGGAAGTTTTAATGTACTTGACTTTCTAAAGACTTGAGGTTTAGAGGTATCAGATTGCGACAGAATCACAAAATATTCATCCAATATTGGTTTAACACAAGAGAACTTTTTTGAAATTGGATTATCAGCTGAAATTTGGTATCCAGGCTCACAAACCACTGGTAAATAGATTTAATTGCTGTTCAAATATGTGAAATCAATATTAGCTCCAATGGTGAACGCGAAAAACAAAATCAAAATCAATTTTAGATTTTTTAATTGTAAAACTGTAAAATAATTTTTATTGCAACCTTTAAAATTAATTAATTTTTTTTCTTGGTTAGATCATGTTTGAAAAATATTAATCTTGTTTTTTTGTTTTTTTTAAGAAATTTGAGTTTTCAGGTAATTGATTGTTTCCTGTATCTTGATGCAATGTTGCATCTACAGCTAATGTACGGAGCAAGTCCAGGTTAAAAGTCAAACGCTGTAATCATTATTTGTTATATTATACAGGATATCATCAAAATGACCTGATTTCTGAGATGTGGCTAAGAGCTGCAAAAGTGGAGTGACAGTTCAATGCTATACTGGCTAATACAAGATTTTATAGCAACAAATACTTCGCGTACTCCATGCTCATCTAGTATCAGGCGTTTTTCAGTTCAGAAATTTGGGGTCCAAAATTATGGGCGAATGTTTCTGATGACCTAAAAATAAATTCACATTGAATAGTTTTAAATATCACCTTAAGAAGACTTTGGTCTCGGTATATGGCAATTAATTATCTTTTTCCTTCTGATCCTTTCATTTCTATTTGATTTTTAGAAATAATGTGTCTGGTCTTATGTTTAAAAAAAAAAAACGAATACAAAGCTGGATTGGAATTATTATAATTTTACTGGTATATCACTTCTATGATTATATTAGTTCTGATAAAACTAAACAATGGTACCGGCCATTTTCCAACTTTTTTTATAGGTGGCTACGTCTTAAAGCTCTTGTTGAACTTACTGTAGCCTCCTTCCATACAATTCATTTGTTTCAATTTTGTATTCTTATTGTATATTGTACTACTTTATTGTATGGAAAATAAAAAGTATATTTGATTTGATTTGATCCTTAAGTGGATGTGGTCATCGACCAAGCCCGTAGCCAGGGGGTTTAGAGGGGTTCGACCAGGCAGATTAAGGGATCAATTGATGTCTTTTATTCGTTGTAGTAAAGAGTAGGCCTACAGAACTGCAAGGTCAGACAATCTGGGTTTTGCTATCACAAACTATAGGGCATCCTTCAAAAGGCGAGTTTGATTAAAACAACAATCCATGACGAATAGGAAACATAATGTAATGTTACTGTAGATACAGAAAACAGCATTGACCTTTAAAAAAGGATGTAAAAAATAATTTTGTGCTATCTAAACACGGAATTATAACAGTAAAACAGCAAGACAAATGTTGGTACTAAATCTTATAACAGAGTAAATTGGATGGAATCAAATGTGATAAAGGGTAGTTTATGCATTTGTCATGTCGTAACCATACATTTCTCAATATTCGTAGTTATGTGTGTTATCTTACAAGCAATCCATTAAATCGTGTAACAATACTCGATATATGTTACTGCCTCGTGCACGCCGCATAGACATCAGTAATGGAAGTACAAAGAAAAACCAATGAACGACTTGCATTTAAGCGATATAATAGAATGGAGAAATCCTTTCCTACGGTAGTTAATGGTGCTCAAAATTGTTGAGCGATTCATATTATTAGAAACCTGTTGGCAAAATAAAGTTTATGTCTATAATTAATTTAGCATTCTTTAAAAAGAGCAGATTTTGGCACAAATGGAATGGAAGGGTTCGACAATAATGCATATTCATCATTTAATTAATTATGTATCATCTTTTTTACATTCATAACAAGGACTTTTCACTTGAATAATCCAATTTAAAGCTTTGGCATATGGTCAATCAATAATCATTGTGAATTTTCCTACCTGAAATACCTTTGATAACAACCGTCTCGTCGCAGTTCTATGGTAGGTTCCTGGGATATGAAGGGAAGCATAATTTCTCCGCCTGGGAACAAACGGCTTTGCATTTATATTTGGACGCCAGGAATCCATCCCGCCTCCAAGGGACTGTAATACTCAGTCGCAAGTTTGGGGACTATAAAATCCTTAGAAGAACCATCTGCCACATCCCGTCTGCAGTTAGAGATTCTCAGTTATATAAAAGATCTGAAAGAAACAAGAAACCATGAAAATCAACAAAAATAATCTAATTTTCTTCAGTTGAAAATCATATTTTTAAAAATTCATTAACACACTTTATTGTAGACTTACTGTATCATCAACCTTACAGTTTCACTTTTTTTTCACGTTTTGCATCTACTAAACGAACGAGCACTCAGGTCGCAGCTCTGTTCCTACCAATCCATAGTTAAAATGAATTCCACAATTACAGTAATACATTGATTTAAATGTTAAAAAAATGTAACCACTAAAACAATACTCAAGAAAATCATTCAATGCTAAAATATAATTCTTCGTGTTGATTGACACAATTTCTTTAATTTGCATTACATACCAGAACTTAATTCAACTATAACTGATTTAATAAGGAGTGGAGAATGTGACATGGCAGTGAAGCTAATTGCCTCCCAATCACGAATTCCTTGGTTCAATCATAACAACAAATTTCAGACTTTTTTCTAAATACTAAAAACTCGAATCTTGAGTCTAGTTTTATTGAAGTTGTATTTTCTTTAAACCATATTTTATAGACGTGTAAAGTGACCCTTCCAGTATATCCTAAAACGTTGGTTAATAAATATTCTTGAGCCCTCTATAAAATAATGTGATGCTTTATCAGCGAAGTTTCATTTTGAGTCTTACAGAGTGGAGATGTTTTGTTTTTTTTGGTCGTGAGCTTCAAATGATTTGATCCCAGGAGCCTGTGATTGGAAGGCAAACATCTCAATCACCAAATACTACGTCTCTACTACAAGCTGTAGCTTGGTATTTCAAATCCTAGGTTCAAATTCCGTCGCCTATGCAGGATCTTGATGTAGAGAATTTATGAGCAGGCCAGGAAGGATGGTTCTCTTGTGAAAGGGATCACCACTATGTGATTAGATTGATGAATGGATAATGGTTTTTTATATTTTTTTTTTTTTTGGTCGTGAGCTTCAAATGATTTGATCCCAGGACCCTGTGATTGGAAGGCAAACATCTCAATCACCAAATACTACATCTCTACTACAAGCTGTAGCTTGGTATTTCAAATCCTAGGTTCAAATTCCGTCACCTATGCAGGATCTTGATGTAGAGAATTTATGAGCAGGCCAGGAAGGATGGTTCTCTTGTGAAAGGGATCACCACTATGTGATTAGATTGATGAATGGATAATGGTTTTTTATATTACTGTATCAAAATTCCAAAATTCATAAAATACTTACACTTATAATAAGTAAACTTAACTTAAATACCTTTACTCCCATTTGAACACAATCTAATTTCTTATAACCTTTTAACAAATTTTGATAGACTTTTCAGATGGCAGGTCATGATAATACAGTATACGGTATGAGGGCCCCTTTAAGTACGCATTGCTGTTAAATCAATTAGTAAATTATATATATACACACAGTATGTACAGCAACACTTTAAACCAGGTTGTACCACTGACCTTGTTTCTACAATGTCATTTGAAACACCACCTCTGTCCCCTCCCCCTATCCCTCCCACAAAAGGCAATGTGTCTAGATCTAGGGCTACAGCTCATAACATCCACTAAAAAAAAGCCTATAGGACTAGACAGTAGGAATGTAGACAAGTTTATTTAAAAGCAATCAAAATACTATACCCTAGTTTAATGAACACTGTTCATGCTGATGTGATAATGAAATGACAGTTACTGTATAATTACACGTTTTAATGTCAAATGAATATAAACCCATGAGAAATCAAAAAATTAATCAAAGCCGCATTGTAATTTATTAGGGAGCAACAGACAAAATTGTTGATCTGCACATAACAACTAATAATTTTAGTGCCATAGCAGAAAGATTGGCTACTCAGAAAAAATTCCCAAGTTGCTCATATAAAATGAACAGTAAAACTACAAATTCTGAGTACTATTTAATAGCCTGCTGTACTAGCTACAACTGAGAAATTGAGTTTGCTCCAGTGAAATGATGAAGAATAAAATGCAATGGAATATGAAAATATAAAGATAAATGCAGACAGATTTAGACAAAATGTGAATATCCAATGTCTAATTGTCCATTTTTTTAAAAATTTTTATTTGAACAATATTTAATGAGGATGAACCTTCCAGCAGAAGTTAACCACTTGGGAGCCTTGATATTTCATAATACAAATTACCAAAAAGATCTTAACTACAAATCTAAAAACAATCATCAGAAAATATTAAAAAAATAAAACAATCATCAGAAAATATAAAAGAAAAAAATGATTGATGAGAATGATGTCAACGATGACAGGTGATAATCTGATGATGAATACTATATGATGGCAACAATGGCGATGATGATTAATCAAAAACTGTCGATGAATCAAGATTAAAAATAATCTATCAACACCAATTGAGATAATATGAACCAATCTATAACTATACTAATCGATCAATACCAATATCAATTGGTTAAGGATCAGTAAAACTTAACAAAAGCAACAAAAATACAACAAAAACAATAATGTACAGTATTTTACTGTTATATTTTACAGAAAATATTTAGAAAACTAAATGACAAAAACTTAAATTTAATAAAGAAATAGTTTTACAGTACCTAAACTTACTATGGTAAGCAGCTCTCAGGACATGTTGTTTCAATCACTACACAGTACGTTCTAAATGGAAGTGAATGTGTAGTTTATCTAAAGAAGACTACACTTTGCTCGATAGCCAATCAGGAGGCAGAGGGCTCATTCTAAAACCAGGTATAGAAGAATGAATCATTCCTAAATCAACCAGATATTGCAATGTCAACGCAGGTCATAACAAACCTGCTTCCTTCGATCCATGTGATAAACCAAGATAAAACAGAGCGAATCCAAAGCCAGCAACACAATTTTTTTTTTGGTTTTTTTTAACTTTATGAATAATTTCTATCAACCATTCCATTTTTAGAAAGGAGAAATATTAATTGGATTTATTTTGCCTGAACACCAATTATAAATAACCCACGAAAGATTCAAGACTTGTTTCCAGTGAGGTCCCTCTGGGGGTGATTGGGCAGTACACCAAAAAACAATAACCCAACCGTTTTTCCGAAGAGTTTACTGTACTATCTGATGTGCACATAGGCCATATTGTACATGGGACCAATGGCTTAACTTCCGAAAGACAGTGCACTTTGCATTTTATTCTCCATCGGAAACACATGGAATGCCGCAGATAGATTGAACCGGGTACCAAAGAATTACAGTGGATCTTCAAGGGTCAGTACACACACAATGACTACTAAGTACAGTACAGGCCTACGGTAGTTTAGCCGAGTAGCTAAGTGTTCCTAAATAAACCAATATTGAAACAGTCTATGGAAGCATTCAAAGTATTATTTACAATGATTATTGTATAAGATGTCTCACCACAGATAATAGTCGTCATTTATAAGGACTGTCACGGTACAGCGCAACCAGAATCGTTAAAAGCACAGACCTCTTTTCAACAAAACATTGACAATCCATTGAATAACAATAGACAGAATTTAACCCCCCAAAAAAGGGGGAAAATGCATTTTTTATTTCACTAACTATTGGTTTATACAAGTAAACTAAAACTAAATATTCACCCATTCCATTTTGATAGAGCTTGTTCAGTTTTTGCCATTCACTTTTCTCAAAATGGATTTGGTATGAATGTTTCATCTTTTTCATCTAACAGGCAAAAGTGACGAAAATGCTTTTCCTAGGGATTGGAGTTGTTTCGAGTCACGAGAAAATAATTCCTGTCCACGATATACAAGAAAAATTACAAGAACCTAAACATTTTTTTAGTAGTGTGGGGTTTTGAAAATTTGGAAGATTGACAAAAGTTGGAAAAGAACTGAACAAAATTTGTAATACTAACCAATCGTAATTAGCTTGCATTGTTTTGAAGAAGTTAAAGAAAATTAAGAATCTTAATATTACGCCTCCATCTTGTTGTTTTTGTTTCTTAGGTTTTTTTAAACTAATTTATAGAGGGTGGCCTTTCCCATGTATCTTAGGTCGGCCGATATTTTCAGGGGCCCTCTTAAATAAATGAAATAATGTGATGCTTTATCAGCGAAGTCTCATTATGATGAACCTAGAAAGTGAAGATTTGTTTTAGTTAAAAGAAAACATTTTGGAAAGAATTGAACACAGGACCCAGGGATTTGAAGGCAAGCATCTTAACCACCAAGTTACATCTCCTCTCATCATCTTCATCATCTTTTTCCAATATGTCAATCCTCAAGTCAACATCACTTATCTAATTACAGACTTAAGTATTAAATGTCACCTTTGCAATCAATAATATAAATTGATGTTGCCAAAGGTTTATTTAGTGGCTCAACCCATTTGGCAAAAAATAAAGTACAAAGCAACAAATTTACACCTGCCTGTCCCTGACCTTAAAGGATGGGTTAAGATTCGCCTTGAACAAACAAGAGGACTCTGATACCTGCAGAGGTAAGCTGTCAACCCATTTCACACCATGCTTCCAATGGGCAGTTAAACCTTCTCGGTGGTAGGCCAAGTGGTTAAGGATATCACTGCTTAGTGCTAACCTCACGGAATATAACTAATCATTTGTTGAACTATTTGATCTTGGAACAGACAAAAACACTGATGGCAATAATAATAATAATAATAATAATAATAGGTTGATTTATAATAGGCGCAAATACTGTAAACAAGGTCTCTAAGCGCCATATCCAAGTAAAGAAAAGGTAAGGTAAACATAAAGAAAAAGCAGACAAAATGATGCAGGAGATTTAAAGAACAGAGAAAAACAAGAATGGTTGGAGACAAATATACAGTTACCGCATAATACGTGGTCTATGCGCTATAGAGAAAACAAAAAAATAGCAAATCTATTCTAGTATGTCAACTACTGTATAGCTAACCGTGGTAAAATAAATATCCGAAAAAGGCTACTTTATGGACTTCAGGCAAATTATACTGAGATGCTGTGGCTGAAGCCCTCTGTTGGCCACATAATACATTTGAGGCTTTTTAGCAATTTCAAA